CAAAAGAGTTATGCAATTTAGTTATAGCATATGAATTCATTGCCCGAGTAGAATTATTTTGCTAGATCAAATTAAATTTTAATTATATAATTATTCTATAAATTTTTCCAAAAAGAGTCTCAAATTTTTATTGTGTGATGATTACACAAATTGTAATTCAACTACTAATGTAATTTACTAAAAAATTCTTAAAATTTTGTAATTTTAAATACTTTGTTTTAATGATTTAGTATATTTTATTATTTTTAGTAATTAACCACTTTAAATATCAATTCTTGTTGTAATTTAAAATATTTATGTTCATAAATTATCTTAGCATATCAACATAATTATTAAAAAAAAAAAACTTTACAAATGAATAAACCTCATATTTCATTTTTATATATAAAATTTAATAACGTTAATAATTTTTAATAACTCATATGCAATTTCAATTTTACATTAAATTTTGAAAATTTCCACTTGTAATACCAAGCCTAGTGCAAAATTCGACCATTAAAAAGTTATAAATTTTATTTAAAAATTAAATATTCTCGCAACCGAAAAGAACGATCGTCGCAAGTTTCGTCGCCAAACTCAAAAGTCAATTCTATCTTTGCGCCAAACATCGCAACAGAATTAATTTCCGTTGTTGATTCCATCGCCGTAACACGACGGACATGTGGGACGTCGCATTTTCTGTCACCAATGTGTTAACGTATTGGCGACGAAATCGATTCCGTCGTCTCATTTTGTAGCGAAAATAAACTTTACTTTAAAAAATAAATATTTTAGTAACGGAAAGAACGAGCGTTGCAAGTTCTGTCGCCAACCTAAAACATCAAATCTATCTTTGTGTCAAACATCGTAACAGAATTAATTTTTGTTGCCGATTCCATCGCCATAGCACGACACACATGTGGGGCGTCGCATTTTCTATCGCCAATGTGTTAACATATTGACGACGGAATCGATTTTGTCATCTCATTCCACTTTGCCCCAAATATCGCAACAGAATTTATTATCGTCGCCGATTTTGTCGTAAAATCGCGACGAAACCATCGGTCGTTGCCTTTTCCGTTGCCATTGTGGTGATAGAACTTAATTCCGTCGCAAAATCCGTCATCAAAATGTGGGCGCCAAAATTTCCCAGGTTTTTTTCTCACTTTGCGCCAAAAATCGCTACAGAACTGAATTCCGTCACCATTTCTGTCGCAAAATTATGACAGAACACGCTCCGTAGCAAAAACCGTCGCAAATCGACAACGGATTACGTTCCGTCGCGATGTTTCCGTTGCGATTCATGATTTTTCTTGTAGTGATTGATCCTTTGTCTGAAGATCTTTATTGGATTTGTCTTGACAAGATCTTCTTGTTTTCCTTTGATGTTTAAACCTGTGTAGTTGTTGTAGGCTTCACGAATGTTTCTTCCTTCGATTATTCCAGCTTTCCACCACGAAATCAGTTCAAACGAGTTCATTCCATCTTAATAACTTTTTCCAGACTCAGTGTGCACTTTGAAAGCTGCATTGTGCATGACACCTTGTGGAGAATCTTTGGTTACATTTGAAAGGTCTTCAATCAACTTCTTTATTCTTTCTCTTTCTTTTGCTTCATCCTCTCTTCTTTTGACTTCTTCTTCATGTTTCCTCCATAATTCTCTGTTTTCTCTTTTGATCCTTTCGTTTTGGGTGCTTATGTGATTTTGCCTTGCATGATTGTCCTTTGTCTTGAGCCAGATAGGAACGTTGCGACCCTCTGTAACACCCCGACATTTTTAAACTTTTGAAGCTTATATAATAAAGGTGAAATCTCATTAATTCCCAAAACATAATACAAAGAGTACGGGGTGCTATGCCACACCTGAGCTAGAGAACTCAGGTGCACAGGCTATCAAACTATTATCCTCAGAAATGCAATACATAATCATGGCACGCAGGCCGAAAGGGAAACTAACTACTTCTACGCTTCAAGGTTCTAGCGCGCTCCGGTGTCTACTCTTCTGTGCCTGAAAGCCAAACATATCTGTTCAGCGAGAGATGCTGGTAACCCACTCCAACGCGTTGAAATACAATACATATAGATATATACATAGTTATACGAAAAACCATTTCGAAGCATGAAGATATATCCTAAGAGACTCTAGCTTTCAAAATAGGGAATAGACTCGACAGATAGAGCTAAGCACCGACAATAGTTATACCAAGCATATACAGTTTACAATATGGGGAAACAGGCAGAGCAGATAAAGATAAGCACAGTTAATATCCATAACCCAACATATACGATTCCCGGCATAAATCCCAAAGTCACATCCCAAGACACTCATAACAACAACTCATCCATATCTCATCACACAAGCACACTTTGTTGGCGCCACAGGACCAATCGCATGCCCATACATGAGGGTCAACGCATATAGCTCTGACATGGCCCCGCAGCACCTTGCCCCGTATCGCAACACGGAGGGGTCGATCGCAACCGACCGATGAACCGCAGCTCATCACAGTTTGATCGCAACCAAACAGTGGACCGCAGCCCAAGAGTATGTCATCTGACCGCAGCCAGGAAATATGAACCGCAGCTCATGTAGAAACGTTTGATCGCAACCAAACGGTGGACCGCAACCCAAGAGTGTAAATCTTACCGCAGCTCAGGAATAACCAATCCGATCGCAACCGGATTGAGGTATCATGCACATATAACACATAGCAAGCACATGCAGCCCACATTAGCACATTGGGAAGGGGGAGAAATCATATAACGAAACCTATGCGTGATCATCCACATACTAAGAATAATCCTAAGGGGTTCATACTTCTTACACCTAGGCCAACGGGATACCAATTCACTAGCATGCAATATATATAAGACTTATTCAACCTACGAATGGTACCCGAACATCAAACTAGACATAGGCACGATGGATGGAGTCCGTTGGGACACCACAGGGGTCGGGGGAACATCAAACGGGGAAGCCGGAATCCCCAAGTGGGGTAAAATCCAGCGGGTAGCCGGTGGGTGAGGGTTCACCCACCGGCTGCCCGCCCGCCGGCTGCCCGCTGCCGGTGTTGCCCATGTTGGCCGCGGGTAGGTGGCGGGTCCCCTACCCCCACCTACCCCCCACTGACTCTTTTTCACCAAAAACGCCCCAGGAACCTTTGTGGAACCCGGAACCATGCTTAGACACTTTCAAACGCAATTGACAACAATACGTAGACAATTAATGGATTCAAACGCAAGAACATATGGCACATAACCTATCATGCTTTTCTAAACATAATCAACACCCGAACATACGAATTCCCACCCAATATACCAAGAACAATACCATACGAGTTCCACGATACAACCTAGGGTTCTAATTACTTTTAAATCAACAAGAACACAATTCATCTTCTAATATCAAGATTCGGTAGGAATATCACATAAACATCAAGAACATCATATAATCATCAAGAACATCAAGAACATCATATAATCACCAAGAACCTCTTAATACCATCAAGATCATCAAGATCACCCATGGGATCATAACACCAATTACCAAGATCAACATAACGAATCATCAACACACAAGAATATGGGGGAAATCCTAAGAGGGGAATCATAGCTATGAAAATAGGTTTTGTTGAGACATGGGTTACCTCTTAGCCTTAATTAATTCCATGGCTATGAAGGGTCTTTCTTTAAGCTTTCTTCTTTCTTGATTTCTCCTAAGGGGATTCTTGGAATTTCTTGTGTGGTGAGAGATTATTGTGGTGTCAGATTTAGGTGCCTCCTATGATCCTATATATATATATATATATATATATATATATTCCTAAGAGTCATAATTGGGGTCTAAATACTATGGGCTTGCTAATTCCATTCCTTATAGGACTAAGGACTTGTTTTAGGGATAAGGGTCCATGGTCCATGGTGGACCATATTAATTAATTAGAGAGAATCCTAATCATAATCTGAATAGTAAAAGGCCTACTTCCTTTATTCCTAATAGATAACTAGGTCTAGGATTCCTAATTAGAATCTGAATAGTAAAAGGTTTACTTTCTTTATTCCTAATAGGCTTAAGACTCTAGTTTAGGCAAGGGTCCACGGTTCATGGTGGACCTTATTAATTAATTAAAGGGAAACCTAACCGAATTAAATCATATTTAATTATTATTAATGGGATTAATTAAATAATTAATCCGGAATTGGAGGTCGTAACACGGGGTGTTACACTCAAAACGTTTACCACTTCCTTCTTCATAGGGTACGAAGTCCACAAAGTTTCCTATGCCATCCATAGTTACTTTGTTGTTCTTCATGCATCTCTGTCTAAGTTTCGTCTGTTCTCTCTTGGATAGACCTGTGAAGATGTACTTGGCTTCCGAGCCAAAAGATTGGCGAGGCTTGAGTGATCTGGATTGCTATCGACCATGGTATCTTGGTTTTGAGGAATGGTGACCATGAGACTTAGAAGGTGGATGAGACGGATTTGTGTTTCTTCGGCCAGAGTCTCTTGGTGTCCGAGAAGGAGAATGCCGAGCTTTTGGAGTTTCCCTTGGAGACCGTTCTTTCGTGTTATCTCTCGGTTGATTATCATCCTTATCCTTGTCGTCATTATTGTCATTTTCCCCCTTTTTGGCATCAGCGGCACAGGTGGTAGGAGGAATAACAGAAAGCTTATTTACCGCAGTCAAGATGTCTTGGGCATATCCAAGAATCTGAAGAGCATATTCTCCCAGTTGGTAAGAGTTATCTTGTGCAGTGTCTATCTTCAGGCATGCCAAATCAACACGCTCCTTGAGACCGAAATGAGAGTGCTTGAGTTTGTGTTGCTGCCGAGCGACTTTGTTAACAGAGGTATTAAGCTCATGAAGAGTCTTGGCAATTCGCTCAAGGAACTTGTGATCTGATTGAGTTTGTTGAGGCGGTTGAGGTTGCTCTGGAGGTGGAGACCGAGGTTTAGATTGGGCAGCCATTAGGTGATCTACCTTATTGCATAAGTCATCCAACACTTTTGAGTCCTTTTCTCAAAGAACCAAATATTGAAAATGAATGGTCTCGGCTGTATGAACAGTTTCTCGCATGTGGTTCATGATAGTCCGTGGGGACTCTGGAGTTGATTCTTCTTCAATGTTGGTCGGTGATGTGTCCATTTGTTCATCCTGAGGTGGTGTTTCCCTTTTTCCACCACTTGCTGAGCTGAGGAGAATAGGCGAGGCTTCCAATTTTCCCTCAGTTGCTGCTTCACGTTTGATGGGAGTCTCGTCCATGAGTGGAATGTGTGGTACAATCGCTCCAGACAGATCTTCGGGGTGTTCATTTGAAATCTGTCGATCTTGGTGTGAAGCTTCTTTCGGGTCATCACTGTCAGAGGGTAATTTTCTTAGTGGAGATCTTTGAGGAAAGGTATCATAATCAGGACCGATCAATATTGGATCACTGTCATATTCTGGATATGCTCCTTGGACACCTGCATTACCCAAATTATCATCGTTGTTATTGTCATCATCATCGTCATCATGCTCATCATCTGCATCTTCAACATCATCGTCATCATCATTTTCATCTTCCTCATTCATGTCACTTTCGTCTTCTTCAATTTCTCGTCCATGCTCATCCTTCGTGCCACTGACATTGCAGTTTGGATCATTCTGGTGTTCCTTGTCTAAAGTGTTTTTGATCTTTGATAGCAACATGGCATATCGAAGTTGCTTCATTTCTTCTTCCAAAGCTGGATCCAATGGTGGTTTGTTAAGTTCAATGCAGATTGGAGCTTTGTCTTTTCCTTGAGTGCGATTGGTCATCTTGTAGGAGAATACTCGTCTTATTTCTTCAAGACGAAGTGCTTTGTAGACATCATCTGTACCAATCCACTTCAGTGCAAATTGTTTTTCGTCTTGCATGGCTTCAAAAGTTTCAACAAATGTACTTAAGGGGGCTGTGCGCCACTTTTGCCACTGCAGAACTCGTTGATAATCACTTTCAATAGATGTTCGGAGTATTTGATCTGGTGTCGGTGCTTTGGGAGCTGGGGCTGGTTCTTTCGGAATAGCTGGAGTTGCTACGGGCATCACAACTGTCTCGTCTACCAATCCAGGTTCTTGTGTCAGAATTACCTGCTCTGCATTGGTAGGTTCTTGTGGCTGAGACGAAACATCAATCATTGCATCAGTCGCTTCTTTCGTCTTTTCTGGTGAACCAGGTTCTTGTGGAAGATTTAAGCAACTGGCCTCCATTTCTACATTAGCAGGTTCTTGTGTCAACCCTTCAAGGTGTTGCTCTGCCAAAGTAGGTTCTTGTGGATGGGGAACTGGAGAGGAGATATGACCAAGTTCTGGTACTTGATGATTTGAGAGTTTTTCTGGTGAGGCAACTTTCGGTTGATATTCCCCCTAGAGAGGTGCTTCTTTCGTTATCTCTTCCCCCTGAGGAGGTGCTTCTTTCGTGATCTCTACCCCCTGAGGAGAAGCTGCTCTCGTGTCTACTACTTTCGGTGCAGTATCTTTCTTCGGGGAATGCCTTGGTTTGACAGGAGAACGAAAGTGACCCTTTCTGCTGAGTTTTGATAGAATCAGATTGTCTTCTTCGGATGAATCTTTCACAACTATTGTTTCCGGTGATGGAGTTGGTGGGATTGGATCTTTCTTCTCTTGAGGAGACTTTGGAGGTACTAACAACGGTTGTACATCATCTTTTCCCTTCGTCTTATCCCGAGAGGTGCGTTTTTATTTCTTTTGCCGTTTTGGCTTGGGTTGATCATCTTCGGATACCTTTGGTGTTCTTGACTTTCGTTTGCCCTTAACCAACTCGATGGGAATTCCCAATTCCAATGCCTTCTGCTTGTCATAACCAGATGGTTTCTGCTTCATGTGACAAGCTTTCTGTCCAGGCCGAATGCCTGGTTGCATCAAAACTCCTTTCGTGACAAGAAGATGGCTTACCATAAAACCATACCCTAGTTTCTTGGCGATGTCTCCTGGACTTTTCCGGTGGTAGGTGATGGTGTGAACTAGATTGTTGAAAATAATCTTCGACCAGTCAACCTTAAGTTCATTAAGAAAGGCATGCAGCATCTTTAGTTTCTCCTTTGTCACATCATCAGTGCCTGAAGTCTTGTGATCAACAATCTTGTTGAAGATGTCAACAGTGAACTCATAATTCAACTTGAACCACTTCTTCTTTAATGGCCACGTGATTTCTTACTTCAAAGGGGCTTGTTTGTTCTTGATAGAATCATAGAAATCTTCTGGATCGTAGTGGTAATAGGTAAGGTCGGACTTGTAAGATTCATCCCTCTGTGGAAACCCGTACGTGGTTCGAATATCTTCCGAGGTGAGGACCACTAGATGATTGTGGACTCTGGAAGAGATGGTCAGAGAGTCGTTGGATATAGATGCATTCATGTAGAACTGCGTTACATCGATGGGATACCATACGGTATAGAGATGTGTAATGAACCCGTACAATCCAGATTCCATGAGCAATCGAATGATATCTTCGCCCAATCTTCGATCCAATACGTACTCGAGAAATCCATGGGCATCCCACATGCTGCCTCCAACAATGAATGGAACTCTGGATTCAATAAGTCGCATGTCTTCGGTTGGAAAGCTTGGGATTTCCAGGGTAGAGGGGTTTTCTGGTTCCTTTTCGGAGGATGTAGCTGGAGTATGTTCTGCCATTGTAGAGCGTCTGAGAGAAAAAGATTGGTAGTTTTGTCTGGGAGGTGATGAAAAAGCCAAGGTATGAGGCAAAGAGGATTCAAGTAGGGTTTTATTTGGATCTGGGTAACTAAATATGGGTAACCCATGGAGGATGGGTTAGTCGAATTTCAAAAGATTAACCGCCTCCTCTTCTTCATATGGTAACTGATCAGAGCATGGGGGAGTGATAGGATCATGTGCAGATCAAGTTTGATCATTCCATATTTAATGCAGAGAGAGAAAAAGTACTCGAGTATCTGTGTGTGCATTTAATGCACGTCAATTCATGTGTCAGTCATGGTGGGGTAGTGGACCATATTTCTCGGCCGCACGATCCCCATTATAGATCATCTAAACGGTTGTGATGAGAGAGAGCCAGATGATGCTTCTTAAACACGATTCGAACCCGAAGGAAGATGATTTTATCATACTTAGGAGATTTGCAAGACAAATAGAGTCAAGCAAATCTCTTATTCAACATTCAAAGAGGATACATTTCCCGAGAGATTTATGACACGAAACAGCTAAGATAAAAACAATTACTATCTCTCGTTGTTCATAGGTGCACAACCTTTTACTTAATGCCAGCCCTCTTCCTTCGAGCACTTTCAAGATACTCCTTTTTCTGAACCTCAAAGGCAAATACTTCAGCTATGATTGTGTCGTGATCTGCTCCCATTGCATCTCTTGAAAGACCTCGTCTTTCCATGTCATCAAGTTCAGCTAAAACTTTGGCTTTGGCACCAGCATAGAGAGATTGATATTGTTCTTCATGTTTTAGTTGTGACACATGTTGCACAATAGAGAGAAGTTCAGAGCCACTTGATGTTTTGGTAGATTCGTCATAAGATGTTCCCTTCACCAGCGAACTTTCGGGTTTATGAGTGGAGTCATTCTCGAACTCAGATAAACTTCCAGATATAAGAGCCTGTTCTTTTCCTTTATTCATGGTAGAATTTGCTGAGAGAAGTTAGTCCATAGTTTGCTGTGAGGGTCCTTTATATAGCTCAATATATATGCATCAAAAGAAGTGAACGAAAAGACTAATCACAGCACGCTTGGAAGAATATTTTCATTTCCAAGAAAGGAGAAGATAGATTGAGATAAGCTTTGATGTGAATGAACAAAACAAATAAAGTTTCGTCCATTTCTTTAGAAGATAGAAGATAATAAGCACTAGGAGATTTTTATTCATAAAACCGAGAGATTACGATACAAAGATAAAATACATAATCCGAAGGATTAGTTTTTCCTCCTCTCGATTTTCTTGTCCTTAGATGGCTCAGCTTTTGCCTTTTTCAGATCTCCCCACATACGCTTGTACCACTTTCCGGCCCGTGGAAAGTTGGAACCCGAAGATGATTCAGGTTCTTCCCCCTTAGCCTTGGCCTCTTTTTCGTCCTCTTGCTTCAGATAGGCCATGTAATCCGGATCGTAGAACTTGCTGGGATCCTCAGAGGATACCTGTGGAGGGTCTGTTCCTGTTGAATAGTTTTCTCCTTGAGGTTCTTCAACAATGAACCCAGCCATATCATCATACATAGATGAGTCTTCAGTATCGGACGAGATTTCCAATGGTGCTTGAAGGCTATTGCCCGGATATAGATCTCCTTGCTCTTGCCTTATTTGCCTGGCGAGTTCATGGAGCTTGCTAGAATCTCCCCTTGTGAAGGGCTTTTTGGGAGCCATTTGTGAGGATGAGAATGGTAGAGAAACGCAAGACATGGTTCCCTTTTATAGGCAGATTGAGAAGAGATAACGTTGTGAAACTGCTCTCAGCATTCAATGCTGTAATCAATGACCATGTATTTCTTCAACCGACCATTAATGGTGTAGAAGACTTTGAATGGACATTTTCAAGAATGCCATAATTTCAGGGTCAGAGATATGATTTCAAGATGTGTGAATGTCAGGTAGTCAGAGATTTATGACAGAAAATCCTTCATTATTTCAAATACAGAACACGAAACATGGGTGAACAGAAATGAATAGCTAGAGAATAATATTTAAGCACAGAAAACGAAAGATTTCATTTCTTTCCCTTTCCTTTCTTCGTGTTACTAGTTTCGCCCTTGGTGACTTTAGAATTTTTCTTTGATGTAGAGGCTTTTGGGCGTATTGATCCCCCATCAGGACGTATCTCTTTATCAGAATCTCCTTCCTTATACCCCACAAATGCAGATTTGCAATCATAATGTCGATAGAATTCTCTGAGATCTCTATCCATAGTAGTGTTGTTCCATGCTTCCAATGTCAAGAATCCCTTTTTAACGATTAGAGGAGGTTCCTCATTAGGATCGAAAGATCTTGCATCTTAATCAAAGTCCTCAATTTCAGAATTGGATGAAATATTTAGAGGATTGATAGGATGATTTCCAGGAATGTGAGTGCCTTGTTCATCCTTGTCTGCATAACCTCGGGTCTTTCTTGACACCTTTTTGGTGATTGAGACTTTAGGAGCCATTTTAGGAGAGATGGATGCAATTTGAGCGTATCCAATGTGCTTCTTTTATAGCCATTCATGATGAAGTGCTTTTTTCAACGGTAATTCATAAGGAAAATTCATGGTTCTTGAAGAGTCAAACATCATTAAACTCATGTCTCCATCGTTATTAATGAGATAATATTTTAAGAAAAATTCCATTTTTGATCCGAAAAGAGGTAATCTGACACAGCAAAATCAAGGTTAGGAGAGTAATTAGCAAAAACAACAATAATTAAAAGTTTTCATTGAAGAGAATCTTGCAGAGATACTCCAAACCATACAGATAAGACAAGCAATATTCAGATAAAGCGAAAGGGCACGTGAAGTTCCAGGCAGGTTAACTCATCAGTCACATCATTCAGATTGGCCTTGTTTGAATATTCGTCTAATTCCTCAAGTGTGAGGGTGGGCATGTTCGGGTTGACGGTTGACTGAGAGTGAACCAAGGTGAAGTCCTCGTAGGATTGATCACTTTGTTGTGGAACTGCAGGGATAGGGTTCCAACGACAGTTAGGTGGATTTGTTGAGTGCTTGTTAACACTCTTCATCATCCTTATCCTTTCGTTGGCAAGCCGATTGGCTTGTTCCAAGTAATATGCCTTTTTCGCCCTAGATTCATTAACAGCGTTGTCCAGTGCCTCCTTTTCCTTAGGATTTGCTGTATTGGGCATGGAGTATGTCACATTGACCCTTTCACCATCTTCCTCCAGCTTGATAATCGTAGCATTGGGCAGACTTGCTTTCTGGAGATTTTGTTTTAACCGAATGGCCCTTCTTTCGGCTTCATCTTTTGGAGAGGCCGAGTTTGGCATGGTGAATGTTACGTGGACCTTGTCACCATCTTCTACAATCTTTGTTATTGTAGCACTTTTCAATTTGCCTGCTTCTTGAAGATGATGGATAGCTCGAATTTCTGCTTCATCCATTTTCTCCTTACCCTTATTCATACCTGCAAGCTTTTCCTTTTACTAGAGGCTGAGTGTGAGTGAAACTTGTGAGGAGAGAAATCAATTTATAGGCATAAAGTTAGCATGCAGAACATGTTAAAATATTTTAGACACTGATTCACGTTTCGTGTAAGTCACGCTATCAGAGATGAGTTGAGACATAGAGCTATTTATTAGAGAAATGCATCATTTTAAAGATAACATATCACTACTTATCACTATGGCCCAATAATTTCATTTAGGCCTTCTTTTTCTTGCTGCTTGCAGTGGATTTGAGAGGTGATGGCATCTTAGGAGGGGTACTCGAGGGTGAGTAGTCACAGCTATCATTTCGTTCCAGCACACTGTTTTCTTGGACATACCCTATAGGGTTGCCAACAGAGTGGAATGACTCTCTTGACTCATTTTCCGTTGGGTCACGGAGAATGTTCTGTATGTTTTGAGAGTGTTCAAGAAATTGGTTAAACTCTTGCTCGGTCACAATTGGATCATTCAGGATTTCACTTTTCCCTTCTTGTGGCACAGTGATTGTTCTCTCGCTTCCTGTACTCATATCTGCACACACAAAGACAAACACTAGAATTTTGTTAGTTATGAAGGTTTAATTATTTTGTGTACCTTATTTATAGGGGTCTTTGCGTGTGAGGATGGATCAAATATTTTGAGTATCGAGAATGAGAATCTTTGTAGATTTGATTCTCATTACTTTATGTCATCTCAATCATTCCTATTTCATGCCTTAGAGAGGAGAATCTTGCTTCACTTAAAGGTTTCGTGAGTATGTCTGCAAGTTGATCATCAGTGTTAACATACTCAAGAGATATGTCTTTCCTCTCGACATGATCACGAATAAAATGATATTTGATATCAATATGCTTAGTTCGTGAGTGAAGAACGGGATTATGTGTGATGGCAATTGCACTGGTGTTATCACATTTGATGCTCACTTCTCGTGCATTAATACCATAATCTTTCAATTGATGTGACATCCACAAAATTTGAGCACAGCAGCTTCCAGCTGCTATGTATTCGGCTTCAGCTGTACTAGTGGCAATAGAATGTTGTTTCTTGCTAAACCATGATATAAGTCTTCCTCCTAGGAACTGGCAGGTTCCTGAGGTGCTTTTTCTATCGATTCGGCATCCTGCAAAGTCGGCATCTGAATAGCCAACAAGATCGAAAGACCCTTCTTTCGGGTACCAAATACCAACGTTTTGCGTCCCTTTAAGGTATCTCAGGATCTTTTTGGTTGCACTTAAGTGACTTTCTTTCGGTTTCGCCTGAAATCTTGCACATACACCAACAGCAAACGAAATGTCAGGTCTGCTTGTTGTCAGGTATAGGAGAGATCCAATTATGCCACGAAAGTTTTTCTGATCCACATCTTTTCCTTCATTGTCAATATCCATTCTAAGAGATGTGCTCATAGGAATTTTAACAGATGTTTTCCCATTAATGCCAAATTTTCGAATTAGATCCTTAGTATATTTGGCTTGACTTATAAAGATTCCATTTGAGCATTGCTTTACTTGCAATCCCAGAAAGTAGTTGAGTTCCCCCATCATGCTCATTTCAAACTTGCCTTGCATGAGTGTTGAGAACTTTTCACATAATGCCGGGTTCGTGCTCCCGAAAATAATGTCATCAACATAAATTTGTACGAGAAGAATGTGATTATTGTCTTTGATACGAAAGAGTGTTTTGTCCACGGCTCCTTTCATAAATCCACAGTTTATGAGAAAGTGTGAGAGTGTATCATACCAAGCTCGTGGAGCTTGTTTTAGCCCATAAAGAGCCTTTTTGAGATGGTAGACCTTTTCATGCTCATTATTGATTGCAAAGCCAGGTGGTTGCTCAACATATACTTCTTCTTCAAGAAGTCCATTTAAGAAAGCACTCTTGACATCCATTTGATAGACTTTGAAGATTTATGGGCTGCAAAAGCCAGAAATATTCGTATGGCCTCCAGTCTTGCTACGGGGGCGAAGGTTTCATCAAAATCGATTCTTTCTTCTTGGCAGTATCCCTTAGCGACAAGACGAGCTTTGTTCCTAACAATGAGCCCATCTTCACTCATTTTGTTTCTGAAGACCCATTTTGTTCCTATGACATTCTGATGGGTTGGTCTCGATACGAGTTCCCATACTTCATCACGTTCAAACTGATGGAGCTGTTCTTGCATGGCTATTACCCAGTCAGGGTCACTTAGGGCTTCTTCTATGGATTTTGGTTCCATTTGAGATAAGAAGCATGCCATCATGCTTTCGTGTAAGGAGGCTCTGGTTCGTACACCTTCTTGGACATTTCCTATTACTTGATCAGGTGGGTGATCTCTTAGCCACCTAAGATCAGGTTCGAATGTATTTTGTTGATTTTGAACATCCATTTCAGGAATATATGGTAAATCAATATAGATCATTGGTTCAGATGTTGTGGTACAGGCAAGTTCATTTTGTTGACTTGTGACCTTTTCTTGAGTTGTAGTTTCGGGTTCAGAAACCTTCAGCTGATATTTCGTGTAGGACGATAGTATATCTTCTTCGTCTGACATTTCTTCATCAATATGTTGAGGATTATTTTGACTGGAATTGTTTGATGTTTTGATGTCGGATGGATTCTTCTCAGATTGTTCATCAAATTTAACATGGATAGATTCCTCAATTACCATCGTTCGTTTATTTAGAACCCTAAATGCTTTGCTTACTGAGGAATATCCCATGAACAATCCTTCATCAGCTCTTTCATCAAAGGCCCTTAAATGATTCTTCCCGTTGTTGTGTATGAAGCACCTGCAACCAAAGACATGAAAATAACCAATACTAGGTATTTTACCTTTCCATAGCTCATATGGTGTCTTGTTGTGAGATTTGTTAATCAGAGATCTGTTTTGAGTGTAGCATGCCGTATTTATAGCTTCAGCCCAAAATCTCTTTGGTAGGCCTAAAAACGAGATCATTGTATGTGCAGCTTCTTTCAAGGTTCTATTTCTCCTTTCGGCCACTCCGTTTTGCTGAGGGGTTCGTGTTGCCGAGAGTTGATGAAAGATTCCATTTTGGGCACAGAACTCTTTTATGACCTTATTAACAAATTCAGTTCCCTGGTCTGATCTTATCCGAATGATTTTGACCTCCTTTTCCGTTTGAAGTTGTCTTAAGAGATTTGGAAGAACTGTTTCTGTCTCATTCTTCTTCTTTAAGAAAGCTACCCAAGTGTATCTCGTGTAGTCATCTACTATAACTAGAGTATACTTTCTTCCACTTAAACTTGCTGGATCAACTGGTCCAAAGAGATCCAAATGTAGAAGGCTTAGAAATCGAGAGTTTGCCTCCACATCTTTTTACTTAAAAGATGACATGAATTGTTTTCCCTTTTGACATGCCTCACATATTTTATCTTTCGTGTATGATGCTTCGGGTAGTCCTCTCACTAGATTTCTTTTGGCGAGCTTGCTAATTGTCTTTAGGTTTAGATGGCTAAGTTTATTGTGCCATTCTTGATTAAGATCTGCATTGCTTTTGGCTACAAAACAGACATTAGCGTTAGAAGAAATTAAAGATATTACGTACATGTTCTTCTTTCGTTGACCAGTTAAGGATGTCTTGCTATCCTTCGTGTTAACGATTTTACACTCGTCTTTGGAGAATTCAACTTTATATCCTTTGTCACAAAATTGACTCGTGCTTAGAAGGTTGAACTTCAGTCCTTCAACATAAGACACATCTTGTATCGTTATTCCCTTTTTGATAATATCCCCTTTTCCACGAGTTTTGCCACTGTTTTCTCCTCCAAAAATGACTTTAGGACCATCTACTTCTATGAAGTTGCTCAGCATTATTTTATCACCAGTCATATGTCTTGAGCACCCACTATCAACATACCATATGACTTGATTTTCCTGCAACAAAGATTATATATTTTTAGGTACCCCTTGATTTTCGGGTCCTTGAGGGTTAGCTGTCAACTTTGGAACCCACAACCTAGAGTGCCCACGACTCATCTTCGGTCCTCTATACCCATTAGATGTCCGATAATCATAATGTATGCTGGAAAAGACTTTAGCATTATATCTTTTCCAAAGGTATTCCTGAGGAGGATTTTCATAATACTTGAGATGATCGGTTTGTTTACGCAGATGAATCCTTTGAAATTCTACTTTAGAAAGAGGTTCTGGGTAATCATACCAATCTTCTTCTGATGGCCCAGTCCATCCATTGCCATACCCAGATCTTATGAAGGATCTTTCGGGTTGTCTGATTCGTCCAATTTTTGGGTTTCCTTGATCAGGATTCTTTTGTATTGTTTTAGGACGATATTGCCTCTGGTCAACATTCGGCCTTTTCCTTAATTGAATATTCTTTGCAGGCTGACCTTTCTTATGGTATAGATTCTGTCTATTTCCATTTGGTCCATTCCTTTTGACATGTCTTTGTCTAGGATTGCCTTTATAAGAATTTTCATTTCGAGGATCCACAATTCGTTATACAGCCTTTCCTTTCGGTAAGCTTGTTGATTGTGGTATGGCATCGTTTGTTAACTTTCGTCACTGGCTCAGACACCTGGGTTGGTCCTTGAACAAATGTAGCTTGAAAGCCTTCGTGTGAATATGCATTCGTGGATTTGTTCAAGCAGGTTTGTGAGGAGGAGCTGGGGTTAAAACCAATTCCCTTTCTTTCCCCGGGCAGTCTGGAGTCATTTATCATTCGATCCATTAGATTGGATGAATTATTAAATTGGTCCAAGACTTCAAGCAATTCTTGCTCTCTCCTTTCTCTTGCTGTGCACTGCTCCTTCAGAGTAAGAACATTTTTCTCAAGTTGCTCCTTAGCAATGGCTAGCTTAATGTTCTCAATTCGAACTTGCCTCAGTGCATTGTAGCTAATTGTGAGCTGAGAGTTCTCCTCCTTAAGTTTGGAGTAGGTGCTATTTATCACTTTGAACCTCCTCATCATTTCGGTAACTGATTCATTGGAGGTTTGACTCCCTACAGAACTTGACTCAGCTGAATAACAAGAAGATGAATGAGAGTTTACCTCATCTTCGTCAGCCATAAGGCATAGATCTTCTGATTCCTGACTGAAAAGGCATAGGAGTCCTTTTTCTTCTTCAGAACTTTCATCGTCTGAACTCGAGCTTGAGGAGCTACTTTCGTTCACAGCTGTGTCAGAGGTTTCGTTCACCACCATTGCCTTTCTTCTTCTCTCGTTTCTGGAGCCTGAAGATTCTGGTTTGTCATTTCTTTTGTGTCTTTCTCCAGTCTCCTTGGATGGGCTTTTGGAAGTGTTGCTATCTTGATGCTTGCTCACTATTGGATGTGGACAATTTACCTTAAAATGTCCTGGTTTACGACAATTGTAGCACAACAGTTGCGAGTCTGTGGTTTCTGCCTTTGAGGTTTGAGGAGAATTTTCGTGTTGCTTTCGGTGACCCGAACGATGAGAGTCTTGAAAGTTGTTCTTCCTCATGAACCTTTTCATTTTCCTGACAAAGAGTGCATATTGTTCATCAGATAAAAAATCACAGGAGTTAGATTTCGACCTGTTGGATGTTGATGCTGATTGGTTGGCCATTAGAGCGACATTTCTTGTTTCTAATTCTTCGGCATCTTTCGGTTCATGTTCGAACTCATATGCTTTGAGATCACTAAAGATCTTGGACGTGCTCGTTGTTTTCATGTCTCGATTGTCCCTCATTGCAATGACCTTCATTTCCCAAGATTTTCGCAGGCCGCGAAGAATTTTTAGATTCCTTTCTTTTTCGGTCAATTCCTTCCCAAGATCAGTCAGATCTCCCATGAGTCTGGTGAACCTCAACTCCATGTCCATGATTGTCTCATTTGGAAGCATCTTGAAATCTTCAAACTTCTTCATGGCTACAGTCAGTTTGTTGTCTTTCTCCTGCTCATCCCCTTCTCCTAGTTCCATCAGAACATTCCATATTTCCATGGCATTCTTGCACTTTCGAACTCTTGGGAACAAGGAGTCGTCAAGAGAGTTGTAGAGAATGTTTCGTGCTACGTTGTCCAGGTTTGCTCTTGTCCTTTCTTCCGAGGTATATGAATCTTTTGGCTTCGGTATCATTTGCTCAGCACCGGCTCCTTGAGTTGCCGCTTGTGTGTTCACCGTCATAACTGTAATTGGTCCAGTTGTTATGACGTCCCACATTTCGTCATGTATGGAGCAGAGGAGTGCTTGCATTCTTATCTTCCAGTCATCAAATTTAGCAAGGCTAAAGACGAGCTGCTTAGAACGGTTAGCATGATCTTTTTCCATGTTGCAAAGATTTGTGCAAAGCTGAAAAGTATGCAGTTTTTCAGAATTTTGATAGGGAATCTACCAGGCAGTAAAAGCAAGCCTTTACCGTTCAAGGTATTTGGCTCTGATACCACTAGTTGGTCCCGATAGAGTGTAGTGAGAGTCTAGAGGGGGGGGGGGGGTGAATAGACTCTTTTCGTGTTTTACCCCAAAACCACCTTTTGGTGTTTTAGCGCAGCGGATAATTCAGATTTGATTATTTGCTTTGCACGAGTTTACGATGAAAGAAAACTTTCGGTAATGATGATAAGAAAATATGATGCGGAAATGAAATGTGTAAGTAAAGAGATAAGGGACAAGAGATTTTATAGTGGTTCGGCAAACGTTGCTTACTCCACTCTTCTTCCACAACTTATGGAAGGATTGCACTATCACCGGTTAGTACAATTACACACAGACTTCCTTGATCACTAAGCCGGACAGCCTTCGTAGGTTTTTCAACTCCTCGAGTTTACTCCGCCTCTATCAACTTCTTCTTCAGAGTTGAGGTTGGTAGAAAGAGATTTCTGATTTCTCCAACGTGATGAAGTCTTGACTGAAGGATGGTTGCTTCGTACAAGTGGCAAGACTTCTTTAAGGTGTAAGATGATGATCAATAAACTTCTTCAAATATCTTAGCACCTTAACACTGGTTCACAAAAGCTTGAAAGAGTTAAGAGCGTTTAAGAGCTTTTGCAAGAAAATGAGTCGAGTGAAAAAAAATAGAACCAGCACCTTCTTAGTTGATGAAGGTGGGTTTATATAGGTGATGAAAATTCATCCGTTGGAGGGAGATGAAATTTTCGAACCTTTTTAACCAGTGGATAAGGACCGGGGAGCTCCATGCATTAAATGCTCCATTAATGAGGTTGTACCATGTGGCCGTTGAAGGTGTGTGTGGCATTAGGGTTTTGTCCTTTAGCTCCAGAAAATGATACATCTTCATTTAATGCTCCTTGGTAATCGTGTCCCCATTAGATGAGATCCTTATGTTCCTAGGATGTTGTCAAATCAAACAGATGAGATATTCTTCTCGTTGTTGAGGAGAAAGAATGCTTGAAGAGAATTGTCTTTAATAAGTCTGTCCTTTCGAGGTAGTTGACAACTCCTCTTAAATTCTTGCTGCTGTTCATCTTGTCTCGTGTCTTCTTTCGTCTTGTAGACCCTATCAACTAGACATAACTCATTTTCGTGTGTTTGTCTAACTTAACACGAATTACATGAGAGTTATGGCAACTCTCGTCTAGGACGAAAGTAGCGATTTGAAAAAGCTATCAGTTTGGGGTCTACTTTCTACATTACATTGGTATCATCAAAATCCTAATACAATGTTCCTAACAGATACACATTACAAATATATATATACAATGAGAGAATCACTGGAAGACTAGAATAGGAGTCACAATCTAACTCAAATACATAGAGTCCTAATAATATCAAGGCTTAGTAGAGAGCTAGTATTTCAAAAATTGTGAAATAATTCATTAATTGTTGAGGAGTGCAGTAATTTTACAAATATTTTGGCAGTAAAAATTTTGTGGAATGTGACTAGCTAGTTGTCCAATTAAATATTCATGTGCCAAAGGCTGGTCGAGCAGTATAGCTGTGGCTTCTCAAATGAGAGGTCTCAGGTTTGTCCCTTAGTGTGGGGACATTGATTCTTTGTGCTTTAGTAGGTTGAGAAAGTATCTATAAACAAATACTACATTGTACCAATTATAATGAATCACATGATGTACGTTTTTTTTTTTCTTTTTTCGCCAAGATAGGGTAAGAGTGGCTCTGTTTGATAGAGCTTATTTTAGAGTTTATTACTTATTTCAAACTACAAATAAACTATAAATTTTATTTGGTAAAACATAGTGAGCTTAAAATAATAATTTATTTTGAACGCTATTTTAAGTAGCGTTTCAAAATAAGTTAGTACCTACTACCTTTTAAACTTTATAGAGTTGTAATTATCATTTTAATTTTAGTAGGTTGATGTTAAAATCGTTAGTGAAGTGGGTATGCTTGATATTTTAAACTAGGAAAATGATACGTGGACTTATAGAGTAAATATGTGTCGTAATTTTATGGGAAAATGACACTTTTCCCCCCTGTGTTATATACTTATAGCACTTTTTTCCCCTATATTATTTAAGTGGCAATTTTCCCCCCTGATATATTAAATGGACATATTTACCCTTAAAATAAATATTTCCTTTATTTTACTTCTCCAACAAATTATAACCACAATTTGAAAAAATAAAATACATTAATTGTTGAATTTAGAATACTTTAAAAATAAAAAAATAAAATTTTAAAATAATGTTTGAACCAACAGTTCAAATTGGATCCGAAATTGTGAAACAACGATTCAAAATAAAAACCAAATCGCGATTATATATACTTATATGTGAGTGTCAATATAAATGCGAAAAAAACATACACTATTTGCAAATATTATAATTCTAATTTTAAGCTATTGCTAGTAGTTGTTCCGATTTGAACCTCTGGTTCACGGTTCAGAATCTATTTTTTTCCACTTCACAATTTTAATAAACGGAAACCCAAATATTGGGTTATGTTATGAATCATAACCGAATTTTTTTTTATTTGATTGCTATAGTGTTCGGTTCAGTTCGAACCGAACCGTGGCCATCCCTACGTATAAACAATAATTTGTTGAACAAGAGAAATAAATAAAATATGTATTTAAGGGTAAAAATGTCTATTTAATATTATCAGGGGGAAAAACTGCCACTTTTATAATAATTGAGGGGGCAAATGTGGATGCATGAATAACTCAGGGGGAAAAAGTGCTATAAGCATATAACATAGGGGGAAAAAGTGCCATTTTCCCTAATTTTATTGATAAAAGAAAAAGAGGATAATCAAAATACACTCTAAATAGAGAGTGTTAGGATAAGTGTTTATCATTACGTTAAAAGATATAACTTGTAGTTAAGACACTTTATTTCCTTATACTTGCAGAGTAATCCGCATTCGCCCTCCTAGTACTTGTCAACAAGCCCTCAACTGCACAACATTCTTCAATTGTTATACAGTGGACCATAGTCCACACAGTGCAGTGTGGACCATGGTTGTTGAATGAAACTGTAGTACAATTACAATGATACTTTAATGTTGCTATAATGAAACTAGTGTGTGAGAAAAATAAAACTAAAAAACAGATCTCATTCAACAATGTATATTGTCAAATGAAACTGTAGTATAATTAAAATGATACTATAGTGTTGTTATAATGAAACTAGTGTGTGTGGAAAATGAAACTAAAAGCCAGAATCATACAATAACATATATTGTCAAATGAACGTGGATAGTAATTAAAATAATACTTTAGCATTACTATAATTAAATTAGTGTATGTGAAAAATTAACTATAAAATAGAGCTCATACAATAAATCAATAATGTATATTGTCAAATGAAACTGTAATAGAATTAAAATGGTACTTTTTTTGAAAGAAATTAAAATTATACTTTGGTATTGCTATAATAAAATTAGTGTGTCTGGAAAATGAAATTAAAAAAGTAAAATTTACCAACATTCTGCCAATCATATGTGTTAACCTGGATTTCTCTTATAGCTTAAGTGAGGTTAATTAAACACTAATAAGAAAGTACTTTGTACATACATGCTTGAAAATGTTTTTGACTTTTGATCACATTTCTTATCCTCACTTTTTGATATTTATAGGCAATTATTTTTCTAACAGATAGAGTAATTAACTTTTCATTTTTGTGAAAAGCAAATATGCATTGCCATGTAACGTACACTTGCAAATAATGATCTCTTGATATCTGCTATAAATAAATGAAGAGAGGAAGCACTAAACCACAAGCCAAGCCATCTTCTATTGAAAGTTGAGACAATCTCTCTTTATTCTCTCCTCCCTTTGTCATGATGGGACCTTCTTCAATGTATAATGTTGCATTAATACTTCTCTTCTCCTTCCTCTTGGGGATGAGCTCTGCTAAGTTGTCTGAAAATTTTTACGAAAAGTCATGTCCTAAAGCGCTTTCCATAATCAAATCTGGTGTTCGCTCTGCTGTGCAGGCCGAGCCTCGGATGGGAGCATCATTGCTTCGTCTCCATTTCCATGACTGCTTCGTTAATGCAAGTTTTACATCCCTACATATCTACGTCACTCTTTGCTTATAATTATGAATTGTCAGTAACTCATTGCTTAATTATATTTTATTTAAATATAATGTGCAGTGCAATTCATATTTTATAATCTTTGTCAAATATACACCCAAAAATTTTCAGTTAAACAAAGTATGTTGAGATGATATTATTAACAATATTTTTATGTTTTTGTTTTGTTTCTTACAAAATAATTGAAATAGGGTTGTGATGCATCAGTATTGCTGGATGACACGGCAAACTTTACTGGGGAGAAGTCTGCGGCCCCAAATAATGGATCAATTAGAGGATTTGACGTGATTGATAACATTAAAACTCAAGTTGAGAAATCTTGTCCTGGTGTTGTATCTTGTGCAAATATTTTAACCCTTACGAGTCGAGATTCCGTTGTTGCGGTAATAAATTAAATATTCTCATCATATTCCATTTATTTACATCTCTTAAGCAATTTTTTTTTTTTTTTTTTAATTATACTAGTTTTAGATTACATATTATGGATCAAAGTAGTCCATATATAATACAGTTGATAATTCTTGCCAAAGTCATACTCATAGCACACTCCAAGTATAAGTCATGTTAAGAATCACAACACTAATTATTACTCCGTTACAAACTACTAAAACGTACTATATCAAATTTTGAATTATTACCTAGTTGGAATTATTATTTCATTAAACAAGATGTGACAAACTTACAGCTAGGTGGTCCTAGTTGGAAGGTTTTACTCGGCAGAAGAGACTCAACTACTGCAAGTTTCAGTGATGCTAACAGGGACCTTCCTGCACCAGTTTTCAATCTCAGTCAACTCATTTCTTCTTTCTCAAACAAAGGCTTTAGTGTTAGGGAAATGGTTGCACTCTCAGGTTTGTTATAATATATTTAAACAATAATTAAATTTTATATTAATTGGTTATTAATCCTAACTGTTATGCCATTCAATTTCTAATTCTTAACTATGTTTCACTTATTTTTGCGCAGGAGCTCACACAATAGGGCAAGCTAGGTGTGTGTCCTTTCGAGATCGAATTTATAATGACACGAATATAAATGCCTCATTCGCAAGATCATTGCAAGCAAAATGTCCTCGAAGCGAGGGCGACAACAACCTTGCTCCACTTGATAGCAGCCCAATTGAATTTGACAGCGTTTACTTTAAGAACTTACAGAGCCAAAAAGGACTTTTGCATTCAGATCAAGAGTTCTTCAATGGAGGTTCTACAGATTCTATAGTCAACACTTATAGTTTAAACCCTTTGACCTTTGCTTCAGATTTTGCAAATGCTATGGTAAAAATGAATACTCTCAGCCCTCTCACGGGCTCAAATGGTGAAATTAGAAAGAATTGCAGGAAAATCAATTGAGATCCAATCAAAATGCCAGCAATTATATTACCAATTAAATAAAGTCGGAAAATGGTTTCACATTTTCCTCATCAGAAAAAAAGAAATTTAAATAGTCTTATTAATGTAACTTTTACTTTTGAATATCCTGAATGTCACTCAGACATCCCACGGATTATGTGCTGTTGGTTTGTGCTCATTTCAATTTTAAGATAGGGTATGATTACTAGCTACTTGAATAAATATGAACCTTATTACTACTTAAAACAAGTCTACTAGATTATTTGTCTACGTTATATTGATGAACACTTGAATTGTTTTAATTTATCTGAATTGGATGGGAGTTCATACATTAATGGAATTGGCATATTATACATGAATGGACGAAAATACCCTTATAAATTATACAATCCGGTATGTTTTAGTTGGAGGGGTGACTTGTGGTCTAACAAAAAAAAATAATCGTGAATGAAAATTGAGAGTAATTAAACATGTGGACCAAAACTGTTATTTTTGCTAATAATCGTGGGACCAAAATTGGTATTTGCTCAATGTAAAAATGACTTGTGTTGCATAATTTAAGGGTTACAAATATCATAATTTTTCCTTGTTTCGGTTTAGCCCCAGTAATTGTATTCCTCTGTTTTAGGCCTCCGATCTCTCATAGTTATATTATAGATTATGTAACATAAAAAAAAAAAAAAAAATTATACTCCGTATTTGCTAATTACCTTGTGATTTGATGACATTATGGTTGCTTTAATTTCTAGAATAAAGGTTTCAGGTTGGAGACCCATTATATTCAAATTAGGGTTGATAAATGTTGAACCAATTGTCGTTAGTTAAAAAAATATGGTAAATTTTTAAGTTTACAATAATTATAAAATTAACCCATCCATTTAAATTTAAAGGTAAGGCGTTATAATCATTGACACTTATGTGTAAACAGTGCCTTATATAGATACGGTACAGAGCATCTTAGTAATTATTGTTTAAGGTTAATTTAATTTTCAAATTCACCAATGCAAAGATATATATTTTCCAGTTAGCGAGCAATATAATGATACATACAAAACCCTTTCTTGTAAGGCATTCCATCTTGAGACGGTTTGAAAGAGAAACACAGTTTTCAAGTATATTTTATGTAACATAAACTTAGGGAAATTGAAATTGATTAGTTGGCTACATCGGATGCAAGTTGTTTCGAAAATTACGGCTAATTTGATTTCAATTTTAAAATAATATAAATAATAATTGCCTAATTGGCATTTGACTATACAGATGTCGATGAAGTTCTTTAATTTTGTTTCTTAATAGAGGACCATTTCAACTTGAGGATTAGGTGCCCATTCCAGCGTTGATATTTTCGAGCTGAGTCTTATACTAATTTCCAATGATTACTAATTTTAACTCGTAGATGACTGGCAAAAGGTGTTTTTTTTTTTTTTTTTTTTTTTAAAGCCAACCAATGAATGATTGTATTAATGAATCAAAGCTGCAATGCAGTCTGGAGGGATATAATCCCAATACATAGCTTGATCCTGATCAAATGCTAACGAAGCTAACGTATGCGCATGCGCATTAAGCTGTCTAGAAATATGATTAACCACGACATTATTAAAAGATGAAATTAAATTCCTACATTGGTCCACTAGTACTCCAACATAGGACATTATGATAGTTGATCTCTGCCGTATAGCATTCCTCAGTTGTAAACAGTCTGTTTGAAGGGATACTGTTGTTATATCTTTTTCCAATAGCCAGGACAGAGCTTCCTTACATGCCAAAGCCTCTGCCATAAACGGTGACAAGCAATTGGGTAATTTTCCATTTTTTGCCGCAAGGAAAGATCCCTCCGGAGACAATAGCACAATACCTTATGTAGCTTCTCCCGTGTCTTCCCGGTATCCCGCATCCACATAACACCGTTGGGTAGTGTCCCTGCCTCCATCCGTCGCAACTGCCGAGAGGGGTGTCGAGCCGCGGCGGACCACCTGCCGGTAAGAATGCAGTGCCGCCGTGGCCTGCGTCCAAGCCGCCGTAGGGCGCGGCAATGTGGCGTCCCACACTGCTGAATTTCTGCACCTCCATATGCGATAAAGCACTGCCACCACCGCTGCACTTTGGTCCTCTGTGAACATTGTAAATACAATTGTTAGCCGCTCAAGGAATGAGTTGACAACAATATTCATTATTGGTAATCCTGAAATATTCCAAACATGTCTATAATAATCACAAAGGATGAATGTATGCATAATATTCTCATGTGCTAGCCCACACATCTTGCATGTTGGATCCACTTCCACCCTCTTTATAATCAAGTTGTTAGTTGTTGGAAGAATATCACAAATTGCTCTCCATAAAAAAGTCTTCCACTTTGGGGGAATTTTCATTCCCCACATTTTAGTCCATTTGTCAAAGTCCCCTGGTGAGTGATCATAAGTACCCATAATGTTCCTGTAGGCATTTTTAACTGTGTAGATCCCATTGGGGTCATCAGGCCAATACCATGAGTCCTCATAACCTGGACTGACAGGTATCCTCAGTATTCTACTCACATCCTCATCCTCAAATAAGTCTGATAAAATATGTGGGTCCCAGGTAGCAGTTTGTTCATCTATTAAACCCACCACTTTAGCATGCCTGAGCTCTATAGGCATATCAGTCTGCACCAAAGGGCTAGGATTATCAGGTAGCCATGGGTGTCCCCAGATTAGTGTCGTTTTACCATCCCCTATCCTCCTGCGCACTCGTCCTATTACCATGTCATGGGCTGCCATAATACTTCTCCATGAATGGCTTGGACATCCTCCTATCTTGGCATCAACAAAGTGGTATTCGGATAGTATCTCGCCTTATAAACTTTTGCAACAAGTGTGTCTGGGCTTGTGAGTAGGCGTCATGCCTGCTTTCCCAACATTGCTAAATTAAAATTCTTGAGATCTTTAAACCCCATTCCTCCATATTTCTTTGGGATACTCAACTTATCTCAAGCCTTCCAGTGTATGCCCCTTTCCATACCAGTGCCCCACCAATATTTGTTCATTGTTCTCTGGATTGATAAACATACCGTGTCCGGAATAAAAAAAACGCTCATTGAAAAGGTAGGCATAGATTGTGCCACACTTTTCAATAGAATCTCCTTCCCTGCCTGAGTCAGAAACTTTTTGTTCCATGAATTAATCCTCTGCTTTATCTTATCCTCAATATATGAGAACACTGCCTTCTTGTTTCTCCCCACAAAAGATGGTAACCCCAGATATTTCCCAAAGTGGGGTGCCTGGTCTACCTGTAAGCAATTAGCCACCACTTCCCTGTCCTCCGCACTGGTATTTCTGCTAAAACAGACACTAGACTTGTGATAGTTTACCTTCTGTCCTGAGAGCTCCTCATATCGTCCCAGACACTGTTTAATTATTCCTGCCTCTCTATCATCTGCCTTAAAAAACAATAAGCTATCATCCGCAAAAAATAGATGTGATATCTGTGGGGCTCCCCTAGCAACTCTGCAGCCATGTATCAAGCCAGCCATTTGCGCTCTTTGCAATAGCATAGATAATCCTTCAGCACATATGAGAAATAAATATGGAGACAAAGGATCCCCTGTCGTAATCCCCTGGTTGGTGTTACACCCCTACTATTAACACCATTAATCAGGATGTTATATTGAACAGTAGTAACACACTGCATTAATAAACTAATCCACCGATCATCAAAACCCATTACCTCCAACATCCTTCTTAGAAACCGCCATTCCATTCTATCATATGCCTTGGCTATATCCAATTTCAAAGCCGCCCACCCTTTCCTACCACACTGCTTTCTATTCAAGTAATGCCCCACCTCCGCAGCTATTAAAATATTATCAGTAATAAGTCTCCCAGGAATAAAAGCACTCTGAGCCTCTGAGATGAGGTTCTCCATAAGTGGTTTCATCCTATTAGCTATTACCTTCGCCATGATTCTGTATAGAACATTACTCAGTGCTATTGGCCTCATATCAGCTACTGTCTCAGGCACATCTTTCTTTGGAATTAAAATCACATTAGTATCATTCAATCCCTCAGGCAGCGAGCCTGAGTTTAAACAATTCACAATAAATTCAGACACATCTCCCCTACAATATCCCAATATTCCTGGTAGAACCCCGGGTTCATACCATTCGGTCCTGGTGCTTTGTCAGGAAACATTGCAAATAAAGCACTCTTGACCTCCTCTAACTCAAACCGGCGCAGGAGCATAGCATTCTGCTCACTAGTCACACGGGGGGCAAAATTATCAAGCATAGGATCTTCACATTCAGTGTTTGATGATGCAAAAATAGTAGTATAATATTCCAGGACAACTTTTCTCATACTATCCCCCTCCACCCATGCACCCACATCGTTTTTTAATCTAGGAATATAATTTTTCCTTTTTCGAGCAGAAGCGTACCTGTGATAGAATTTGCTATTGCAGTCCGCCCCACGCAACCAATGTTGCTTCACCCGCTGCCTCCAAAATACATCTTCCTACATCTCCAGTTGTCCCAGCCTCTCCTCAATATCACGAAACTCGGCCAATGCAACCGAGTCTCGCCTGTGGCGCAGCTCATCTTGCTCTTTCCTCAACTGCTTTATGCAGTCACCAAATTTATGCCAATGCTCCCCACCCCACCGCATTACCCTTCCTCCACAATGTTGTTGACAATTCAACAACCCCTTATCCCTATTATCCTGCCAAGCAGTCTCCACCACCCCCGACAACCGTCATCATGAATCCATGCCATCTCAAAGCGAAATGGTTTCGGTCCCCCATGTCTGCGGCCCCGTGCAGTATCAGTGTTCAGGAAGAGAGCAGAGTGATCAGATTCTCGAGTTAGAATATTTTCAACCCACGCCTTTGTATGCATAGATGTCCATTGTGTAGACACCAACACCTTATCCAGCTTTTCCTCCATCCACCTATCAGTCCCTTTCCCCTTCTCCCATGTAAACTGGTGACCACGCATTGGCAACTGGGCCAATCCACAATTGTGAACAGTGTCCTCTCAACAGACTATTCGGGTGAGGATTCCCCCCTCTCTTCTCGCGCTGATATAACAAATCATTAAAGTCCCCTAGGGCCACCCAGGGCAGTGCAGACTTATCCCTTAAACCACTCAATAATTGCCACGCCTCCCTGCGTCTATGCCTCTGTGGGAACCCATAGAAACATGTCATTCGCCATACTTTCTCCCTTATAGCTACCTCTATATCCACATAATTCTTCGAATAACTCAATAGCCTAGCCGTATTATTCTTTTTCCATAATAACGCTAAGCCACCTCCCCTTCCATCCGGATCCACATAAAACAGACCCTCAAAACCAATCTTAACTCGTAGTCTTTCTGCATGACTTCGATCTACCTTTGTTTCCATTAAGTAGACGAAATCGGGCTTCTTACGGGACACCATGTCCATCACTTCACGAACTGTCTATGGATTGCCCAAGCCACGACAGTTCCAGCTTATCGTACTCATTGAGATGGGCAGGCCTGACCACCAGGACTCGCCATAAATCCGTTTTTTGAAAACTCAGACGTTACCACATCTCCTGCATCCAACCTTATATCGCTACCATCTACCCCATCTGTAACACCCCAGATTTTCAAGATATTTAAAACTTAGAAAATAAAGGTGAAATCTCATTAAATTCCAAAACATAATACAAGAGTACGGGGTGCTATGCCACACCTGAGCTAGAGAACTCAGGTGCACAGGCTAACTAACTAATATCCTCAATAATGTAAGTGCATAAACATGGCACGCAGGCCGAAGGGAAACTATCTACTTCTACGTTCCAACTTCTAGCGCGCTCCAGTGACTTATTCTTCTGTGCCTGAAAGCCAAATATATCTGTTCAGCGAGAGATGCTGGTAACCCACTCCAACACGTTGAAATACAATACATATATACATAGATATACGAAAAGTCATTTCGAAGCATGAAGATATATCCTATGAGACTCTAGTTTTCAAATCAGGGAACCGACTCGACAGATAGGGGTACACACAATCAGCAGTCATAATCAAGTATATACAGTTCTCGACATAGGGCACAGTTATAAATAAACACAACCAATAATCAGAATTAAACATGTATAGTTTACTAGCAAGAATCCTATGGTCACGTTTCCATAATAGTCACACCATCAATCCCTCTTATCTCATCACATAGCACACTTTGTTGGCGCCACAGGACCAATCGCATGCCCATACATGAGGGTCAGCGCATATAGCTCTGACACGGCCTCGCAGCACCCTGCCCCGTCTCACATTACGGAGGAGCCGATCGCAACCGACTGATGGACCTTTGTCCTATATAATATTTATATACCTGACCGGTCTTTACCAGCCTGGTTAACAGTTGGGATGATTCTCAGCCCATTCAACTGCCCGTATAGTGGACCTTTGTCCTATATAATATTTATATACCTGACCGGTCTTTACCAGCCTGGTTAACAGCCGGTAAGGTTCTCAGCCCATCCGACTGCCCGTATAGTGGAACTTAGTCCTATATAATATTTATATACCTGACCGGTCTTTACCAGCCTGGTTAACAGCCGGTATGGTTCTCAGCCCATCCGACTGCCCGTATAGCCCGATTGATCTCAACCAATCGGGGTAACATGCACACATAACACATAGCAAGCACATGCAACCCATATTAACACATTGGGAAGGGGGGGGGGGGGGGAAACGTATAACGAAACCTGTGCGTGGTCATCCATAACTAGGAATACTCCTAAGGGGTTCATACTTCTTATACCTAGGTCAACGGGATACCAATTCAACTAGCATGCAATATATAAGACTTATACAACCTACGAACGGTACCCGAAATATCAAACTATACATAGGCACGATAGACGGAGTCCGTTGGGACACCACGGGGGTCGGGGGAACATCAAACGGGGAAGCCGAAATCCCAAAGTGGGGTTCAAACCAGCGGGTAGCCGGTGGGTGAGGGAACACCTGCCGGCTGACCGCCGGTGGTAGCGAATCCGGGCAGCGGGTTCCCGGCGGGCAGCTGCCCGCCCGCCGGCTGCCCGCTGCCGGCGTTGCCCAAGAAGGCCGCGGGTAGGTGGCGGGTCCCCTACCCCCACCTACCTCCACTGACTCTTTCATCACAGACAAACTCCCCGAGAACCATTGTGGAACCCGAAACCATGCTCAGAAACTTTACAACGCAATTAACGATCAACACGTAGACAATTAACGGATCAAATACGAGAAACGTACGGCACATAACCTATCATGCTTTTCTAAACATAATCGACACCCAAACATGCGATTTCCCTCCCGATACACCAAGAATGATATCATACGATACAACCTAGGGTTCTAATCACTTTTATACCCACAAGAATACGATTCGTCTTCCAATTACAAGATTCGGTACAAATAACACATATGCATCAAGAATGCCATACGATTATCAAGAACGACATATAAACATCAAGAACTCCACATAATCATCAATAACATCATAATTATCAAGAATCTCCCAATATCAAGATCACCCATGGAATTATCCCATCAATCATCAATAATAATATCGCAAATCATCAATATACAATAATATGGGGAAATCCTACGGGGGAAATCATAGCTATGATAATAGGTTTTGTTGAGACATGGGTTACCTGTTAGCCTTAATTAGTTCCTTGGCTATGAAGGGTCTTTGTTTAAGCTTTCTTGCTTTTTGATTTCTTCTAAGGGGGTTCTTGGAGCTCTTTGGGGGAG